ATTACTGGATCTTATATATCATGCAGTGAAACTCAAATATACTTGCTGTATGTTGGTTTACCGTCTTCATAATCATTTGAAAAGTTTCCTATTTACAATTGTAAGATTTGTAATATAGTATATTTGTAATAATTGGCATCTGGAGAAAAATCATTGGTCTTGGAAATAACACTTTCACCTTCTATTTAAATCTATGCATAAATGAAATTATTAATAAAAATGAAAGTTAAAATATATTAAGTTCTTACTGTCTATTTTGCAAATACAGTTATCAAATAAAAACAAATAGTGACTTAAGTAAAGAGAGTCTTTATTTGAAAGGGTTCTTGTAAGAGCAGGGGAAAGGGCTTTTGTAGTAGAGAGAAGGCTCTGAGCGTGAGATCTATCAGTGTCTCAGAAGTCAGACAGCAGAGGGCTTTTCTTTTATGGGGAAGAAAGGCCAGAAAGATGTGGAGAAATGGTAGGAGTGGGGAAGGGGGCATGATGGGACAATAGATCAGAGAATGTTATACCCTCAGGCTGGCCCTTGGCAACAGAGAGGCCTCTTGGAGAGTTGTATGCTGGCTCAGATTGTGGGTGGGTCACTGTTCAGGGGCCTGAGGAAAGGAAAGAAGCTTAACTAAAGTTTGATCAAGTCAGATTAAGGGACATTTTCTGATTGATCAGTGGGACAAACAAGTCAGCTAATCTTTTATGGGGCAAAGAATGGGAATTCAGAGGGCTTGTGTCTGGCCTTGTTGTAGGTAAACAAGGGGGTCAACCGCAGGTCTTACCTAAATCATGCGGGAAAGAGTAATCCTTTGTAGTAAGCCATTTCCAGGAATGCAAAAGAGTATGAGGATTTCTTAATCATCACTGTTTTTCAGGAGCTCAGGGCTCGGGTAAAATTCAGCCTTGTCACAGTGCTGCTCAGCACTTTATCTGATACGTTTTAATCTTCATGATAACCGTGAAGTGTAATGACTCTTGTAAGCCACACTACGGTAACTGTGGTGAAACTGAGCACTGGGAGGGTTAAAGAACTGCTGCGATCACTCTGCTGGTTAGAGGGCGAGCGCCTAAGACTCCTTGAGAAGTCACAGCGGGTGGGACGGGACATCAGGAGATCTCAGAGCTCAGGGCAGATAAGAGAACTATGCTGCCTAAGTTATTTTTTATATCATGTAAAAAGGCCAAAATATATACTCAGCCCCTATATGACTTAGGCCTTTTCTTGTCACAGGTACTGCCCATGGCTAGCTTAAGGGTTGTTTTTCTTTGTTTTGTTTAACTACATTAGGGTATCTTACAGAATCCATGGAGGAGTTGAACTTGTAAACTGAGAGGACAGTAACAAGAGCTTCAAGCCTAAGAAATAGACAGTAACCAAAGTCCATGGCTCCTCTCTCCAGCAGTATTTCTTAACAGGGCACAATTGACGTTTTACAAAGGACGTTTCTACGTTGTGAAGGGTAGTCCCATCTATTTCGGATATGTGACATTCTAGGCCTTTGCCCACTAAATGCAGGTGACCAACAGTCATTGTGACAACCAAACAAACATGCTAAATATTTCCAAATGCCCCCAGGGAGGTGATGCAATCTGCAGCTGAGAACCCAACCAGGCAACCAAGCTTATTGCCATTGTTGACTCAGCTCTAAGGACATTCAGTATCCACGCTTAGCTCTAAACTTCAGACTCCCGTGACTTCCAGGCAAAGGTCAACTCCTTGACCAGCCTGGGTAGCCTGGGCATGGTCATGTTGTTTCAGTGTGGTGGCTCCCTTGGTAGCCTTGTGGATGAAGGGGCGTTAGTTCTCAGTAAAAGGTGGGTATTGTTCACAAAAAGTTGAATATATGCCCACAGTACTTAAATTTATCAATTTATTATTTGCTAATTTGTCATAGAGTGTGTATAAGCTACCAGCTGCTCTGGTAGGTGATTTTTAGACATTTCTGTCTTCAGTTCATACAACAGATGCCCACAGTAGGTAGTATGATCCCTGTGCTGTAGGTGAGGAGTCTGAGACTCGTGAGGGTTGACTTGACTGAGGACCTATAAGTAACACACAATATATAGTTGAACAAAGAAGGGAATTAAAGGGCTTTTGATTCTCAAAATACTCGTTACTGTACTTTTTGTGAACAAAAAACTAATAGAACTTAGATGGAGAAAGAAAACTTCTAAAGGTATATAAAACCCTTTTCCTTTTTATATAGAATCCCATGTTTTTATGTTTTGTCAAGTGACCTTGAATAAATCATATCCCTCTGTAGACTTCAATTTCCTCTGTGTTAAATTAGATGTTTGGACAAGAGAATTTCTAAGGTCTCTTAATTTTTATTAATTGGGAAATACTAAACTATTAAAGATGTAGTGTAAATATGGCTATTTGACCACAGAAATTTATTTTTCCACTATCCTTGAATGCCACTAAAATGAATATAAATGAATGAAAAAAGACACGAATCCACGAAAATAAGAATGAGAGTGTGAGACAACAATAGGCAAATGATGTCAGTAAAATTTTGGTAGCTACAAAATAAATGGATAAATGCTAATGACTTCGGAGGCCACAGGAGGCAGAAGCCTGAGCTTGCAGAGTGAGAGAAAGTCAACCAGACACATGCTCATTAGTGTGGGAAAACCTTGAGAAGACTCAGGAATTGCAGACGCCAATTTCTGTGAAGGTAGATTTTATGGTAGAATTGAAAAGAGGAGGCTTGGTTGAAAGTTTGTGTGAGAAGTAGTTAGATCACCAGATGCTCCTCCCAGCTGATAAAACCAGGCGTCTGCCCTTCTTAACCTAGCAACAGACTAGAGATTTTTCTGAAGAGTTTAAATAAGAGAAACCTTAGGCTCTAAGACCCAGATAGACACAACTGGGCTAGAGTGAGATGCCGCACTGAAAATGAGGGAGTTATTTCCTTTAACTAAGAATGTGCATGCTTAATGATGGGATTCCCAGTATTCTGGCAGCCAGGCTTATATGTCCTCCTAGGAAATTGAGGAATTCCTCTTTAAGGAAATGCTTAGCCCAAGAGAAAAATAAATATAGATACTGTTATTTGAGTAGCTTTTGATGAAAAAACTGGCTGCCATATTACAGTGAATTGTCAAGTCCAGTTGTCAAGTCCCATGTACAAAAGCAGAACTTCCACTCAGCATTTTAGAGCCTCAATCTTAAAGTTTTAAAAACAGGTAGCAGAGGATTACCAGTCATCTGAGGAAAGCCCGTAGTGTAGAAAGAGACCAGTTCACCAAACATGGTGGGGTAAGGAGAATCTGTTGCAAGAAGCAGATGCTATAAGCTCCAAGGTGGGGAGGAGCCGCTGTCATTACTATCCTTAGAGAGATAAGAACTTATATTGCTTTCATAAAATATTTTTTAAAAGCCATAAAAAAGAACAACTACAAGAAAATACTGTTAGTAGTTAACCATTTGATAGCAGAAATGAAAGAAGCAATAGAAATATAAGCATAATGTAATTAAATCTCCCAGAAAGTAAAAGAGAGAGAGAGAGAAGATGAAAGAGAAAGAAAGGGAAAATAAGAGAGAAACTTAGAGATCCAGCTAATGGAGGTCCAATATGCAGATAATGGAATTTCCAGAAAGACAAAGTAGAGAAAATGGGGAACAAGAATATGGTAGGGGTGGGTAGGTCGAGACACTGATTTTTTTTTTCCCACCTTGTGGTATTATTCGATATTTTAAACTCTCAAAGTATCACTTCTATATTTTTTAAAACTAATTTACTTCAAATTAAATTTTAAAAAGAAAAAATAATTACATGTGAAAGTTAAAAATAGATATTTGAGTTTTCATTGCAGACAATAAAGTTAAAAGTGGGCAAGGAAAAGAATACCATTTTGATTTTTTTTATGTACATATTTCAGGAAAATTACTTCAATTACCATAGTTGGATAAATTGAGGAACAATTTTCTCTTAAAAACAGCAATAACACAGCAGTGGCATAGATCGTGGAAGATAGCTGATGTCATAGCAGCCACTACATGAGTTTGTAATCAAGGATCTTGCCAAAGAGAACAGTTTCTCTCCCAGTAAACAGGGGTGACTTTCTATCTGGGAAGTATTTATGATTTACCTGAATTATAGTAAGGCCTTTAAAACTTGTGTGGAATTCCTGTTAATAATTGTTTCATTCAAGGTATTTTTATTGTCTATTATGTGCCAAGCGTTGTTCTAAATTATTTATGTGGACCCATTTAATCCTCAGAACAGCCCTAGGAGGGTAGGTCCTATTGTCATTCATCATTCCCGTTTTACAGACAAGGAAACCAAGGTATAGAGAAGTTAGCTTACTTGCACAGGGTTACTCAGCTCGTAAATGGAAGAGCCAGGTTTTAAAACCATGGCAGTCTAGCCTCAAAGTCTGTACCCTTAATTAATTGACTTCTACTCTGCTTGTTAAATAGAGAATCCTAAGCATCTAGGTTAAATGGTTTGTCCATATTCCCATAGCTGGTCTGGTATTTTAGAAGAGAGAGATGTATTTTGTTGTAAAGCCTTTGTCAGCCACTGAATGCTTAAGAACTCATCTAGGCCAGAGCACCCATTGGTTGACTAACCAAGGCTTACGTACTGACCAGGTAGAAGAACACAGATACTCTATAATGACCTGTCCAGTGCACAGTACAGGACACTCAGTATCCTTTTCTTCACCTACATTTTTATCCTAGCACTGTTCATTGTTGATATTGAATGTGTGTTGAAATTGTTAGGATAGCAACTTAGGAATTCTGGGAAATTAACTGCAGGTAGTTTGTAAAATTTAGCCACCACTGAAGTGATAGGTGTAAAGAAATATATCAATTTTTTTTTAATTTTACAATTTTTAGCTCCATTTTATATAGTTTATGGAAACAGTGTGATGCATGTAGCAGGAACTTAAATATTTGTCATTAATTATGTGTAGCATACTACAGTGTTTTCTTAACATTCAAGATTAATAGATTACTTTCAGATATGAATGTTACAAATTTTGTTTGTTTTTCCTAGTTCAACTTTGTGGGGAAACTTCTGGGTCCACGTGGCAATTCTCTGAAGCGTTTACAAGAAGAAACCTTGACAAAAATGTCCATCCTTGGAAAAGGTTCTATGAGAGACAAGGCAAAGGTAATAGTCATTACAGACAGTGGCTACTTTTTTAGTCAAGTTATATAATGTACTTTTAGGTCATCCATTGTATTAATACATATTATATAAAAGCTAACTAGGATCTCAAATGAAATTATTTGAAAACGTTATATAAGGTGATATGTCTGTGATACTGTGTAGAAAGTTGAATCACTGGCCAATTTTAGAATATGTACTATCTTAAAACTACATGTGTGACTATTATATTCCTTTATAAAGTAAAATAGTAGTACCTATGATTTTGACTCTAGAAGCAATATGTTACCTTGTAGAAAGTACAGTGATATTGAAATTGTCTTGAAGAGAAATAAAAGTTATCTGTAGTCTCACCGTCACTGTTTCCATTTTAAATAGTTCCTTCGTGTCTTTTGGCTATGCCTTTGTTTCACATAGTTGAGTTTATAAAGTATATACTTTTATTTGCTCTTTTGGCCCTTCATTTGATATCCTATGCATTTTATCAAATTAAAATTGATTTTAAATGTTTTAATAATTGTTTACTATTCTAACACATAGTTGTTCTACTTAGATGTATTCACACTAACTGCCTCCTTTTTTAAATAAGCTAAAGTTACTGAGTTATTTGCATTGATCACTTTTTTTTTTTTTGCTGATGAAGATTTGCCCTGAGCTAACATCTGTTACCAGTCTTCCTCTTTTACCTTGAAGAAGATTGTCCCTGAGCTAACATCTGTGCCAGTCTTCCTCTATTTTGTATGTGGTTCGCTGCCACAGAATGGCCGCCAACAAGTGGTGTAGGTCCACACCTGGGAACTGAACCCATGAACCCAGGCCACTGAAGTGGGGCATGCCAAAATTAACCACTAGGCCATGGGGCTGGCCCATTGATCACTTTCTTAAATATACCAATTCTGAAAGAAATGTTCACATTTCTTAATGGGCTATCACTGATGTTTTTATTATCGCTTTGTTGTTCTCGTATTGTTAAAAGGTTTATGTTACTGAGAACCAAATCCACATGCAGTGATCGCTTACCATGCAATGTTGAACAATGTTTGCATTAGACAAAAAAGTTATTTGGACAAAATCCAGCCTCCTCACAAAAAAAGTCCATCTAAATAATAGCTTTTATAATAAAAGTAGCCACTATTTGTTTATTGAACAGCTGCTGTGAGTTAAGCACTGTGAGAGAGATTTTACACGCATTACTCCATGTTATCCTTAGAAAAATGGTGGAAGATACGTACTATTTTCCTTATTTTTCCGTGTCAGAAAACTGAGATTCAGAGAACCTGAGTGTATCATCTGGTTTAATCAGGAAAGTTCATTATATTATTTGATTAAAAAATGGCTATGTATCAGACTTGTATGAGAGGCTGTTTAAAAATACAGATTCTTGGGCCGGCCCCGTGGCTTAGCAGTTAAGTACGTGCGCTCCGCTGCTGGTGGCCTGGGTTCGGATCCCAGGCGCGCACCGATGCACCGCTTCTCCGGCCATGCTGAGGCTGTGTCCCACATACAGCAACTAGAAGGATGTGCAGCTGTGACATACAACTATCTACTGGGGCTTTGGGGGAAAAATAAATAAATAAAAGTATATATATAAAAAAAAAATACAGATTCTCATGTCCCAACTTGTTTAGGGTAGAACCTCAAAATGAATTTTCAGTAGGTGTTTGAAATGATTTTGATGCACATCAGGCTAAGTTAACTGCTCACTCAGTGCTGCTGTCTTGAATGATGTTACTTTAATTCCCTGACTCATCTATTCTGGCAGTAGGAGACATGGAACCATATATTGGTCAGTTGTTCAGACATTATGTGTATCTTATAGGAAAGTACCCCAGCCTTGCTGATATCTTAATTAAGTCTTAAATAAGGCTGTCTGGTAATTAGGTATCTAATATGACCACTGAAACCCATTGACACTGTGCTACTTATTTTGTTTGTTGTTAAGGGAGTTCCACGGTCAGACCATTCAGTGGCTTGTTCAGGCCATCCACAGATGGTATTACAGGCAGAAGGGAAGTGGGGAATGTGAGTCTTTATCAAGAGTGTATGTCCAAGTAACAGCAAGTGCCTGGCTGTCCGTATAATGAAAGGGAACATAAATATTATGAGCTTGCTATCAGGGCTTGGTTGTCCTTCCAGATTATGTTGTCATTTCAGGGGCTGGTGGTAGTTCTCTGTTGTGGTCATATTGGACACTGAGCAGTGGCAGTAGTCAGTGCCCTCCTTTTTGAAAGGAGTTGATATTGTGAAGTAATTCATAAGCTCTCTCCCTGTTCACCATGGGCACTTTGTTGATGAGTCCCTTGTGTAGCACTGAGGTGGCTGGAGAATGAGCTGCTTTGACAACTGCTACAGTGGGTCCTGTTGGCTACCTGGTCACTGAATGCCTGCTCTGCATTGTATGGGCCTCTTTCCTGGACCACTTACTACCCATTCACTAATCATCTCATTTCTGTGTCAACCACATGGGTCAGCTAATCAATATGGGGATTCTGCAAATGGCTGATTATTTATATTCCATCAAGACAATCAGAAACTGGGAAAGTAGCATACATTGTGGGTTTACAGTCCACTGAGCCTACTGTCAATGGGCTAGGACCAGAAGTCCCTTTATCTGTTGACCCCGTAAGCCCCGTTACCATTGGTGGCCTTAAATGGATACTGTTAATGTCCCATCTGCCGTATTGTAATCAGATCCTCACTGCCTGAACTCTTGAATACTGATTTCACTTGATCATTTTTACTAGTTTAATTTTAGTCTACAGAAATTCTCAGTTAATAATATGTTTATTTCTAAAGATTAGCTTTCCATTAGTTAGCATCAAAATCTCATCCTTTTAGATTTTCAAGGTGTTCACTGTTTAAATGCTAATGTGAACATAATTCATTTTTTTCTTGTATTAGCTACGTTGGTGAAATTATGGGAGTCATTACTAACATGTGTCACCTGGTTATGTAGCATAATAATCACAATAATGCTATGGTCTGTTGAACCTTGAGTTTGTGCCAGACATGCTAGATGTTTTGCCCACGTCAACTATATTATAGGATAATAAAATAATTAATACTATAGTTATGTAATGATAATTATTGCTGTAGTAGTACTTATCATTACTATATTCATCATTTATTGAGTGCTTATTACGTGCTGGGCGTAATTCTAAAGACTTTTTGTGTCTTTAGACACGAAACTCTTTTATTACTACAACTCCTTTCTTACTAATAACCCCTAATTACTATTATAATAACTCCTTTATTACTACAACAACCCTATGAGCAGTAGGTACTATACTATTATTATCCCTATCTAAAATCACCCCTTCAAGATGGGGATAAGGTGACCTCCCCAAAGTTATACAGTACAGTATATGCTGGATTTGGGATTCGAATGCAGCACTTCAGTCTTTGTTCCTCAGCAAACACCATGCTGTCTGTCATCATTAACCCGTGAAATAGTCTGGTAATAACTCCTCACTCTGTGAAATTGTGTGACAGCTATGGTTATGATAAGAAAGCCTCCCTGTTCCATCTTAAGTTTGTGATAGAAATGAAATGCTTGACTATGAATCAACAATTATAATCTCTCAGTAAAATCATTATTTCGATACCATATTAGAAAAAGATGTGTTTATTTCAGTAGTTCATGCTTTCAAAAATGGACTACTCCAGTTTTAAAGCTTCATCTATAAAAAGCAGAGTATCAGATTAAATGATTGAAAATGTTCTGATTGGAACAATGAATAGTCTACAGTTGGCTTAAAATAATAGTGCTTTTTATACTCAAGACAAATTTCAAAGAGAATTTATAGGATATTATGGTAGTTTGTTTTTGCTGTCCCTCATTTCAAATAGTTTTCTGCTTTCAGTTTCTGGCCCACTTTCCATAAATGTAAAGGAAACTAGCATTTATTGAGCACCTACCACATGTAAGACAATGTTCTAGGAAGTATATACACTGTATCCTTTCCAGGCGTTTATGTAAAGCTGGTCTTTTGAGTCTCTTGATGGTTCTGCATTAATGAACATGTGTTGACACGAAATTGATTTTGCAAATTAAGTGTTGGATTACATATAATCTGTCTAAAGTTGCACACCTAGTGACCAGCATAGCTAAGATTCAGGAATATCTGACTAAATCCCATGCCCTTTTCTTGTTGATCTCTCTTTTCTTTGTAAGAATTCAGATTAGTTAAGTTACAAAAGTTGAAACCTTAAAGGATGAAGTCATGGTGTTCGTGCCTTCTTGGCCTCTTGGCTAATGGTAGAATTAAACGATGTTGTTGCCGGGAATTCCTGGGGTTCTCTCTCTTATGGGATAGGTTTTTTGGAGAGGCTAGGAAAGTTTTCTAACTTCTGAAAATCACTTTAGGTGTAGGTTCCTACTAATCTTAATCTGTGTGATTTTAATGTTGGAAACAAAGACTATTCAAAGACCCAGATTCTGTAATTGCCACCCTAAGGAAGGCTAATTAGGAAAAAGTAATGGAGCAAAGTCAGTAGTCCCTTAACTGTTTTTTTCCTCCTAGTTTTCTTCTGAATTTCATTATGTAAACTGAAAAGAAAAAAAAAAAAGATAAAAAGTGTTTATCATAATTACGTAAAATCATGTAATAAAATCTGTCATTTATTTTATTCACTCTTTTCCTGAGAGTATACTGCCTGGCTTGTCGAAATGCTTTTTGAATGATCCGTGAATGAGCAAATGAACATAGAAATGAATAAATAGTGTTTGGTCATTCTTTCAGTAAATATTTGTTGAGCATCTGCTCTATACCAAGATCTTTTCTAGACAAGGAGATCGCAGCACCAAGCAAGACGAGCGTGATTTCTGCTCCATGGCGATCACCTTCAGTGAGAGAAATTAGAAAATGGACTAGTAAAAAATAAATTATTTTAGATGGTGGTAATTACTTTGTAACAGCATCACAGGCACACGGCATAAGCAGTGGGAAGTGAGCTTGGTTGCTGAGCCAGTGTGAGGAGCACAGCGGAGCTCTGTGCGGCTCCTGGAGGGATTGAGCGAGGGAGACAGGAGGAGGCGAAGGAGCTGGAGCACGCGGCGGTGGGCAGATGTTGGGACTCCTTCTAGGCCGGAGGCAGGAGTTGGGGCTTACTCCAACAGCAGCAGGAAGCCCTTGGAGTTTTCATACAAGCCTGAGAATGGCAGGAGCATATTTATATTTTAAAGTTTCTTCCTTAGGTGGTATTTGCTGTTGAGCGAATCTCCCGTGACAACCACATGCCGCATAAGCTCTGGGTAGTTTTTATTTTCTTTTTCTTTTCTCATGACACGTTTTTAAATGTGATTTTTCTTTCTTCAGGAAGAAGAGTTGAGGAAAAGTGGAGAAGCAAAGTACTTCCACCTCAATGATGATCTGCATGTTCTCATTGAAGTTTTTGCCCCGCCAGCAGAAGCATATGCCCGGATGGGACATGCTTTGGAAGAAATTAAGAAGTTCCTCATTCCTGTTAGTACTATTTTTCTTGATAGTTAACTTTTACTTTAAAGTCTTTATTTTAATCCTTGATAATTCTTCTTTTTGTGTGTGAGGAGATCAGCCCTGTGCTAACATCTGCCAGTCCTCCTCTTTTTTTGCTGAGGAAGACCGGCTCTGGGCTAACATCCGTGCCCATCTTCCTCCACCTTATATGGGACGCCACCACAGCATGGCTTGCCAAGCAGTGCGTCAGTGCGCACCCTGGATCCGAACCGGCGAATCCCGGGGCGCCACAGCAGAGCGCTTGCACTTAACCGCTTGTGCCACCGGGCCGGCCCTAATCCTTGATAATTCTTATCACTAATTGTTATTTGCATAGCACTTTATCTATTAAAGAGCTTCACATAAGGTCATCACAAGTAGACCTCACAGTGTCCCTGTGAATTACTTGGCATTATTCCTTCCTTATATATGTGGCAATAGATTTTTAAAGAGATTAAATAGTACTGCTAAGGTTACATGGCGAAGAAAGTTGAAGAGCACAATCACTTGTTCACGTTTTGGAACTCCAAGTCCTAAGCTTCTTTGTGACACTAGTATCACCTCACAAATTCATTGGTCTCCAACACAAACTCATTAGTACCTTCCATCTACCCAGCCCTGTGCTTGGTGTTGGGCATGTGAACATGAATAAAAGCAGTCCCTGCTCTTGAGGAATATATAGTTAGGGGAAGAGAAAGGCATAAGCAGTTGATCTCTGTACAGCCTGGTAAATAGAACAACAGACATAAGCATGATGAGCACAGAGAGGAGAGGCACTGTGCACCTAGTCAGCGAGCTTCTGCCAGGTGTTTGATGTTTTGTTAATAATTGATAGTCTTTTTTAACCTTTTTCAGGCACCTTGACATTACTAAGAATGTGATAGTTTAAAAAGAGTATATCCCTACCTCCATTACAAAAGTTAATTTAGGTCTTTTGTAAAATTTGCATGTTCTAGATTTAAAAAACTAAAGCATTGAACACTTTGGTTCTTTAGACAATTTATTTTAGAGAAGCTATCACATCTGCCAACCAGCTGTGTGGGGTAAGAATGTGTCTTCAGTGGTCACAGGCTGGTCTAGGAGATTGACTTACCTACTGCAGCATATGTATCATGGTTATATTATCTGTGAGGAAAACTGTTGTATTTTTAGGGAAAGGATATTTTAAATTACAATTGCCCTGGGAAAGCCAGGACATGAGATTGTATTAAGTATTTTACTTGGTAGCTAAAAATGGTTAATATTTTCTTTGGTTGCCTCAAGTCAATATGATGATCCATTCATTGATTTAGTTTGAAAACAGTTTTTGAGTGCTTTCTATGTGATAGACACATGTGAACTAATAAAAGACATTGCCCCAGTCCTATCGAGTTAATATAATGGGAGAGACAGATAAGAATCAGATATTCATATAAACGACTATAAAATTGCATCTATGACAAGACTAACAAAGGAGAGGTTTAATGTTTTAGTGGTCATGAGTGTGGGCCAGGGAGTGCTGACCTAGCCAAGCAGGACAGATTCTGTTACCACAGACGACTGCAACAGTCCCTCCCATCCCATCACCTTACACTCCTCCACAAGAGATGGGGTCTCATTTCTCTCACCTTGAGGATCTGCACTGGCCAGAGAACTCTGCCTAACTCGGGGTCACAAAGATTTTCTACTGTGTTTTCTTCTTAATATTTTATACTATTAGCTCTTTCATATATGTCTATGGTCCATTTTAAGTTAATTTTTGTGTAGGATGTGAAGTTAGGATCTAAATGTATCTTTTTCTATATAGATATCCAGTTGTCTGCATGTTGAAAAGACAATCTTTCCACTGTTGAATTGCCTTGACACCATTCTTGAAAATTAACTGAACATAAATATATCGATTTATTTCTGGATTCTCAGTTCTGTTCTGTTGGTTTATATGCGTGTCCTTATGCCAGTACCATACTTTTAATTACTTTAGCCTTATAGTAAATTTTGAAAATCCAGGTTGTGTAAGTTCTCCGACTTTGTTCTTTTTTTTCAAAATTTTTTTGGCTATTCTGGCTTCTTTGCATTTCTATATACATTTTAGAATCAGCTTGTCAATTTCTACAAAAAGACATGCTAGGTTTTTTTTTTTTTAATTGATGTTTTAATAGTTTATAACATTGTCATGCTAGGGTTTTGATAGATAGTATATTGAATCTCTAAATCAATTTGGGGCTAATTTGCATCTCAACAATATTGGGTCTTCCAGTCCATGAACATGAACATGAAATGCTCTCCACTTTTTTTTTTTTTAGAGATATTCTTGAATTTCTCTCAGCAGTGTTTTATAGTTTTTAGGGCACCAGTCTTGCATTTCTTTTGTTAAATTTTTTCTAAGAATGTATACTTTGTGATGCTATTGTGAATGGAATTGTTTTTTAAATTTCATTTTCAGGTGATTACTACTGTATAGAAATGGAATTGGTTTTTGTATGTTAGTCTTGTATCTTGTGACCTTGCTGAACGTGTTCATTATAGTGTTTTTTTTTTAATGGAATCATTAGAATTTTCTACCTGCACGATCATGTCCTCTGTGATTAAAGAAGGTTTTACTTCTTCTTTTCCAATCTGGATGCCTTTAATTTTTTTTCAAATTTTTTACCTTATAACGCTGACTAGAACTTTCAGAGCATTGTTGAATAGAAGTGGTGAAGATGGACATCCTTTCCTTGTTGCTTTCAGTCTTTCATTAAGTATAACATTAAGTATGATGTTAGCTGTAGGTTTTTTATTGCTTCCCTTTATCATGTTGAAGAAGTTCTCTTCTATTCCTAAGTGTTGAGAGGTTTTATCGCAAATAGGTGTTAGATTTTGCCAAATGCTTTTCCTGCATATTGAGATGGTTTGTGGTTTTTCTCCTTTATTCTAGTAGTGTATTGCATTAATTGGTTTTCAGATGTCAAGCCAGCCTTGCATTCCTGAGATAAATCCCTCTTGGTTTATACTCTCTTTTATATGTTGCTGCACTTGATTTACTAATAGTTGGTTAAGTGTTTTCACATTTCATGAGGGATATTGGCTTATAGTACAATATTTTTATAATCTTTTATATTAACCCACACATTTACCATTCCCAGTGTTCTTCATTTCTTTCTGTGGATAGAGTTGGTATATGATGTTACTTCTTTTCAGCCTGAAGGACTTCCTTTAGTCTTTCTTGTAACTTAGGTCTGCTATCAAAAACATTTTTTTTCTCAGAATGTCTTTATTTCACCTACATTCTAAAGGATAGTTTATGTAATTTTGGTTGCCAGTTTTTCTTTCATGTGGTAGAAAGACATTCTCCTGCTTTGTGGCCTCCATTATTTTTTATGGGAGGAGTCATTAATTATTTTTGTTGTTCTGTACGTGATCTGTTGTTTTTATCTTACTGTTCCCAAGACTTTCTCATTGTCTTTGATTTTCGACAATTTGACTATGATGTGTATGTTTATCATCTTTAGTTGTTAAGCTTTCTGGATCTGTAGGTTTATGTTTTTCTTTAAACATGGGAAGTTTTCAGCCATTGTTTCTTTAAATTTTTTCTGCCTTTCTCTTCCTCCTCTGTCCCTCACAACCCCTGGATCCCAGTATCTGTGTGTTGGTACACTTGATGGTGTCCCATAGATCTCTGAGGCTCATTTTTCTTCATCCTTTTTTCTCTGTGTTCCTCAGACTGGATAATTTTAATTGACTTATCTTCAAGTGTGCTGATTCATTCCTCTGCCATTTCAGATCTGCTGTTGAGCTCCTCTGGCTAATTTTTAATTACAATTATTGTATGTTTTTTGTTTTTTAAGTCTCTTTTTTTTCTAGTCCAACATCTGGTCCTTCTCTAACACAATTGTTTCCTACTGCCCTTTTTGTTTTTCTGAGTATGGGTCACATTTTCCTGTTTCTTTGCATGTCTATTAGTTTTTTCCTGAAAACGACATTATAGATATATTATAGCATATCTGCACTCTGATTAATTTTATTCCCAGAGGATTGTTGTTGTTTTTTATTCATTTCATTAATAATTTAGTTGGACTAAATCTCTGGAATCTGTCTTCTTTGTGGTTTATAGCTAATAACGTCTCTGTTCATTTTTTTCCTTCTTGCTTTTCTTTTTAAGCCTGGCCTGCTACAAGTTTTCTCTGTGTCAGCATTGCTGAGTGGTCAGCTAGTGATTGGTCAGAGGTTGTGCTCAAACACTTGTGTTAGTACTGCTTCCACCATCTGCTGACGGACGTGTGTGTGCACGGGGGTGTGCATCCAAAGGCTGGTCAGTGGTCACGTCTTCCCTGGCTCTTACTCCTGGCAGGTCATCCTTGTGTCTCCTCTTTGTATGCACAGACTCTGTCAGGCAAGCATGTAAGAGAGCTTGAGCTCTCTCCGTTCTTTGCTGTACGTGTGCATAGCCTTCCATCAGCCACGTCTGTGCAGGGAGCTTTTCAAGGCTCTCTGTGGCTGTCTCACTTCCTGGATTTCTGTGAAATCTGGCTAGTCTGCCAGTCTATCTCTTGCCCTGCCCAAAACTGCAGTATTAGGCTTGCTGATTCACTGGTCTTCTCTATTCATTTGCTACAAAAATTGCTACTGATATTGACAGTGCTGCTGGGCATGGGGGTTTTTCACACTTTCTTCTACATTAAGTGAGCCACCTCCTACAGCAAAACTACTCATTTTCATGGCCTTCCCCATCCCACTGGAACTAACGCATCATCTGTGCCTGGGAGGAGACGGAGTAGCATCCCCAGGCACACAGACTCCCACTTTTCTTACCTGAGATTTAGCAATTTTTCACAAACAAATTTATTCTATTTTCTATTTATTTTGTAACTCCAATCAGTTTCCAGAGTCCTGAAATGATTATTTTTAACCTTTTGGTCAGCTTTTATTGTTGCTTTTTATAGAAAGGCTTTGCTGAGCTCCTTACTTAGGTATCCCAAAAGTCCTATGTTCTCTCGTTACGGTTTCTTTTTTTAAACTTAGGTTATTTT